CCTCCATCCTTGCTCACACGAGGACGGAGGCAGGAGCACTGCTCACGGGAAGCATACGCGGAGCATCAGCAGAACCCGCTCCGGTGGGTACGTGTAGCTGCACACCCCTGCAGGAGCAGAGGTGTGGGAAGCGGCTGCTCTGTCCTGGCGCGCAAGGGCAGGAGGAGGGATGAAGGATTGGAAAAAGGCTTATTTCCTGTATAAAAATACAGCCTTAAAATGAAGCCTGCTCTAGGAACCTCTCTGTGTTTCCAAAGCGTATCAGAGAATAAAGGTTTTCTAAGTTCTTCTGCAAACAAAGGTTTACACAGAGAGCAAATTCAATCTGCAGTTCCCTGGTAAGGGCTGAGGGGTGAGGACGGGGTGAGGCAGGATGTGCAAAATGGATGGGGTTTATTGCATTTATATACAGAAACCAGAAAGTGACACTGATTTAATTAGTTATCTGGAGACAGTAATAAGGCAATTTTTTTTTCTTCAAACAACTGCTATCGGAACAGTAAAACCAAGTTTTGCAAATGTGTTCTGAAAAGGTCAGCGAGGAAATCTCAGTGTGTCCAACCAGCTGGAAATTGATTGTTTTTATACAGCAAACCTGCTGGTGTCTGCTAAATCACCTAAACAAAGAATGAGCTTCCTTACAGCCCAGTCATGAATGCATTAGTTCGTGAGCCTGCAGCATACCTCTGTGCAGTAATAGCTCTTCCTTACCCTGCTCCTTGGGTTCACTTTTCTGTGCCACAAGTGACTTGGCCATCCCAGATGACTTCCAAGGGCTGAGCCTGTTACGCTCTCAGCCCTGCTCCTTTGTACTGACCCAAGTCATCCACCTCTGGGAGCATCTTAGGATGCTTCCTCCCAAAACACGTGGAATAGATTTCTTCCTGACACACCCGACATCTCCACGTGCTGAAAGGCCAAATAACGGCTTCAGATGCATTAAACAGTTCACCATACTGGAGCTGAAAGGCCAAGCAGAAACCTCGGGGGAGATGTCTGAGGGGTGAACTAGCAAGATGCTTGCTGAGTAAGCATCCTTCTACACAGCAAGTTCCCTGGTGGTTAAGAAGAGGGATAACAATGCATTAAGCTCTTCTCCTTCGCAAACTCCTTAAGTTTTAACTCAGCAGTAACTCCACAGGCTCACATGCTACAGCACATCTCTCCTCCTGGCTTCGTTTGTCACCTCTTCTGCAGTTAGCGATGGGGAGATGCAAGCTATTTAAAGCAAAACCACACAAACCCATCTCTTCCACCAATGCTGCTGACCACCCCCCACAGGGCAGCCTCTCACCCAATTCAAGCTGGCTCACCCTCTGAGCTGAGCTTCAGCATGCATATCCTCACTGGAGACTACTGTCAGCCTCACTTCCTGGTTCTCTCAGGCTGGTCCGGTTCTGCCACACTTGGGCTGTAAACACTGCAGGAGGTTCAATTTCATTTATTTATTTTATTTTTTAACTATGCAACTGAAAGGGAGCAAGGAGGTTTTTTCTATTGCACTTAATAGTCTCAATTTCTGAAATGCCCTTTTTCAACCTATCAGACTCCAAAAATAACTGAAATCTTTAAAATAAGTGCTATTTTTAGTTTCCCAATGTAACTAAAGTGTTTTGATGTTCTTGAATATCCCAGGATCCAGCATGTACGAGCACGAGACGATTATGTCAGGAGTGTTAAATGAGAAAAAATACCTCCCTTTGAATTCTTATGCCAAACATAGGGTGGGGGGTGGGGTGTTGAGAGGGAAAGGGAAAGTGGCTGTGGCCCCATCAGAAAAAAATATAAATTAAAAAAACCTTATTATGTGCTGTGTCGCATCTTGCAAGGCTGAGCCCCTGTGATCTGAGCCAAGATCCAGGCTGCACCTACCTACGGCAACAGCCAAAGAGGCCACTCTTTGCTCAGAGGTAATGAACGCTCCCAAGACAGAGCGCAGCTCACCACTGAAGGACCTTTAAGCCTCAGCCCTTGTTCACGTAAGACAGGACTGTGCAATTTAGGTTTTGTTGAGTTTTTTGTTGTTTGGGGGGGGGTGTTACTTTTTTTTTATCTCAGCCCAAAAGCCTTCCCAATCCTTCAGCCTCTACAGAATTAAGACAAACACAAATGAGTAGCAACAGCTTGATAATCAGGAAAGTGAGGCCTTGCTCCTGCCCCCCTCAAAAACCCTCATTGAGCAGACATCTCTCAGGTTCCTCCCCAGTCATCCTACCTCACTTTATATGAAAATAAACTCTAAAGCTGAGAACGTGGGCAAGAAGAACGCGATGCCCCCAAACCCTTTTCCATGTTCTGGGCTGCATGGGTGCCTGGGGCCACAAGTGCTGCTGCAGGGGACAGGCTCCTGGACAGGAGCTGGAAGTGAGCTGGGGTTACCAGCCAGCACACCAGAGACCAGCCTGGGAGCTGCCGGTTTACTCTCAGCAAGCCAACAGAAGCTGCCTGTTCATGGCTGACCACAAGACCTATGCTTGCATATTTCCCTCCACCTCTGCAAGTCCCCCTCCTTAGTAAAGCCATTTCCCACAATTCCTACAATGAATGAAACAAAACTAAAGCGCTCCCTCGCCTGTGTGGCTCGCTTCCTTCTCCTCCTCACTCAAATTGTGGTTTTCCCTCCCAAACTGGCAGCCGCTTGCTTCACAATAGCAGAGTGAGGCAGGGCCATATGGTATGTACTTTCTGCTGGTGGAACAGGCGCTCGTCCAGGGCAAGGTCAGGCCTTGGGATCAGCTTCCAGGTTCATTGTGGGATTCTCCCACCAACCTGGTGCCAAGACTAAGTTACAGCACTGTCCCTTGCAGGAAAATGTACCCAACTTCTACACCTTGATTGCTGAGCGTCAGTTTGAGTAGGCAGAACCTTAAATGCATAGAGAGCAACTCCTCCTGCTCCATCCTGGTTAGGTAGCAGGAAAGAAATCTCATACTCTTCCCTTCCTTACCACTGCACTCGCTCGATCCCTCTGTTTGTCCTGATAAACCAGTGAAAGAGACAGTTTCCCCAAGCTTAGCCTATCTCCAAGGTAGAAGGTAAAAACTAAATACAAGCGTTCCCATGCTTATATTCAGTTCCTATAGCAGACGTGTAAACAACATTTGCCCCCTACAGTGCCTGAAGCTGAGACACTGCAGCCCATCGTAAAGTGACATGGGATTTTCACCATCCAAACTGAACCAAAAATACCCAAACCACCCAAATGGGATTTATCAAATCCCTGTGTTAATGCAAGGTAAAATGAGCGAGGAAGGAAGTTTAAAATACTGTATTTTTAAATTAGTAACACCCCTCTAAAACAAGGATAGGGAAAATAGGATTTTTCCATTCACAGGCACATGCTGTCCCAGGTGTCCTGGGATTTAACAGCTAATCAGGAACAGGAGCAGTGGGTACAATGGCTGGATACTGTGGCCAATCCCCATTTCCAGGAACTGGAGCTAAGCCACAGTAATTTTACATATAAAGGTGTTGCATCACTTTTACCAAGTGCTGTAACAGTACATTCCTGGAGCAACAAGGGTGAGGATGGTGAAGATCATAAACCAAAAGCAAAGCAGCAAAGACAGCATCCCTATTTACCTGTACATTACCAAACAATGTGTAAGGCCATGACATTTTGCTCCTTCAACTCAAAAATTTAGCAGCTTCTCACAGGGCAAACACTTCCCTGGTTACTTCAAGATAGTTATGACAAGGTACATGCATCTAAGAAGCCAACTCTTCTTGCTGAAACCAATCCCACGGAACAGCGCCTGGATCTCCCTGGTGAAGAACCTCACCACCACAACAACGCCTCTGTGACTGGATCACCTACCCCAGACGAATGTGACTTCCTGCAAAATGAGAGTGCTGTTAACAACCACCAGGATGTTCTGACCTGCTGTAGCGGGGGGAAGGCAGAGATACCTGTATTTTTGGATTTTCTTTTCCCTGTTACCAGAACTTAAAACAATCTTCAAAACTTAGGTTCAGGAATAAGCTATGGTGTCCTCTGGCACTGCTGTCAATGTAGCCAGCCTTCCCTCACAGCAACAGGCAACTGTGCTGTATTTAGGAGACTTTAAAAATGCTGCTTACTGTCAGACACAAGGAAGGAGCCCCTCTCTGTGGGCCTGCTGAAGCCCATTAGGATAAAACAGAAGACTCTTGCTGTATGAAGCTAGGAAGACACAGCAATCTCTGAGATGGTAGCTAACCAGGATTCAAGTACCAAGGTACCTAGTGTGGCTGGAAAGGTAACCTGGGATTGCGCCAATGGCACTAGGTATTTACTACCTATGACACTTTTTTCTCTTGACATTTTCAAATACCTGAACCACTTCCAGATTAGATCTCAAAGCAAAGATCTGACCAAAGGAACCTAAGCTTTAGTGCAGAACCACCTTAACTGAAAAAGTTTTGAGACACGGGGCTTATTCAGAAGAGCAGGGCCACAAATTTGGTGCCAGTCCTGATGTCTCAAGTGAATGGGGCTAATTCATAGTTAACACAGGGTTGGTTAACTGAAAGTCCCATCCTTCAAGCTTTCTGGACCCTGCTAACCACTGCCCATTCTCCAAGGCTCTTCTGCAACCTAACACCAGGAGCTGTTCTGGCATGAGACCAAAGCTGAAACGGCTGTTTTGGTGGTGGTACAGTCCCAGCTTCTAGAAACATGGCATGATCAAGTGGGCTGCACAAGCCGAGAAGGAAGAAGGAGACACAAGTGATCTTCAGGAATGGACTCCTGCAGAGATGGTTTTGAAAAGGGGGCAGAGGGCATTCCTACACATTGGACTTCTCAGCCTTCAGCGCTCTAGCAATTCTCAATGAACTGTTATTGCACAGCTAAGTTGTCACACAGCCCATCTCATTTGAGGCGCTTCTGGACATCACAAGCTGCCCCTCAACTGGGATCCCTCCCAAGCCCAGCTTCAGTCCCAGCGAGGCGTTTTGTCCTGCCCTATCACAAAGAGGATGCCGGAAGAAGAGCCTATATAACATATATATGTATATATAAACTGTGTCTGCACCCAGGGAGCAAGCAGCTTTAGCCCCTGCTCTCTGGGCAGCGGAAGGGCTAGAGAGGCTGATAAACTGCAACAAGCCGGTGTGAGAAGGAGAAAGGCACGAGAAAAGAGCAGCTCTTCAGAGGCTGCTGTCAAACATCTGTCTGGGGAAGAGAAGAGGAGAGCTCAAATCCACTCTGTTCCTTGAGCCCCTGATGCTGATGGAATGGGGAAGCCAGCACTGCACCAACTCCACTGGTGCATCCAGGAGGCAACCTGGCGACATCCTTTGGATCTTCAGCTGAGGGCGTCTCTGCTTGGAGGTATCCAGGGCACAGCTCGCAAGGACGGGGAAGGCTGCACAGAGTGCTTCTGTCCTGAAGGCAGGGGGAGGGGAAGAGGAAGAAATCCAAGAGGGAGAAAGCTAGACAAACACAGCAGGCCTCATGCTTCCTTCAATAAGGGAATATCTGAATGGTGGGGAGAGAAAAAAGAAAAAGTAGTCAAACTTCTGCAGTTCAATGCACACCAGAAAAACTACTGTTGAAAGCAAGACAGGCTTGTGATAATGCAGTCTTCCTATCATCATAACACAGGAGAAGGGACCTACGGAGGACACTGCCCCAGCCTGCCCCTGCCAGTTCCAGCCTTGAAAAATCTCCAAGGACAGAAACTACATCATGTCTCTGGGTGCCCATCTGGGTCCTGCACTACCTCCTAGCACAAAATATTTTCCTAATGCCCAACTGTATCTGTCAAATTACAGCTCATGGCCACTGTCCCATGTTACATCAACTGGCTGAGAAGAGTTTAGCTCCATAATCTTTTAAACTCTCTGTAAAGTAATTGTAGCCAACTCTTGGCTTGGCCCTCAACTGCCTCTTCACCAGAGCAAAGAAGCCCAGCTTCCACAGTCACCCTCCAAAAGCCCCTAGCTATCTTGGCCGGCCTCCAACAGAGCCTGTCCAGTTTCTCCACATCTCTCTTGAACTGGGGGTCCCACAGCAATATGCAGTATTCCCTGTAAAGCGTCACTGGCGTTGTTTAGAGGAAGGTAATAATTTCCCTTAGGAATAAGAGTTTCTTTCTTTCCCGTAACTTCAAAAATCTTTTTAATTCCTCAAAATGTCCAAGACATGTTTCTTACTGTGACAAGAATGGTTGGAAATACAAGGTTCACACTTGCCCTTATCTAACTTGAAAAAATGCAGCCTCATCCAGTAGCTGCATCTTCTTCATCTTTGAGCCACATGCACAAGCTTTACGGTCTCCTGCTGCAAGGGGCAATCCACTGCTCTACAAAAAGCCTTAGAGTAATACACGTTTCCAGGCAGTGTTACAAATGACACAGTGCAGAGGCAACATCCTCTAATTTCTACACTATGGACTTGTCTTGTTAAGCTTCACTCCTGGATTTCTGCTGTTTAAGCACTTGAGGTTTAATGCCTGGCTCAGGACATGTTGCCATTTCTGACCTTTAGCACAAATCCCCTTTAACAGTTTTTACTGTAAGGGTTCTGCATGGCATTACTATGGCCATAGGGCTTGACACTGTGGAAAGGAGAAGCTCTGCCCTGAGCTATCTACAAGCCAGTTACACTTCTTGCCTAAGACAAGCAGTCTCTGCAGAAGCAACCTTAAGCTGCCACTTCACATCAGCTCTAGCATTGTAAAGGCACTCCTTCAGGGCAGAACAGAACTGGAGAATGCAAGATGCATTGGCTGTTTAACAGACCTGCCCCCCTGCCCTGTACAGTATGTTTAAGCACATCCCTTTTGGGTCTTCTCGCATGCCATGGCTGCAGCACTGTATGCACCATGGCGGTAAGCTGCTTACTTGAACAGTCTAAAAATGAAGAATTCCAAACATCACAAAGGGTTTGTATTCCAAGCATAACCTCCCACTCCCACCAACTTGTTTTCCACAAACACAGCTATTTTACTGCATTTGCACTGTGATGCTGGCATTTCTCTGCAAATCCTTTGCTAAAGCAACAAGAGTGAGCAGCAGAACCCCAGTGGTCTTTCCAGATTGCCCTAGGCTTCCAGTCTGAGTGCCACATACTTCAGAAGAAGGTATTAAATGCTGCTTGCACATATAAGTTGTGAAGCATACCATGGAGACTGGGACATCTCTTCTCAAAAGCTCCTTCTTTGCCTGATATACATAGGGGCAATTCCTTGCCATTTTCATTCTAGGTAGAACCTACTCTTATAAGGGTCTCATTCAGTGCTCCTTGCCCAAGTTACGTACCATCTGTGTATTCCTCAGAGGAAGTGAGTGATAAAAGGCTCTGTATGTCACTGCTTTCTGAATCTTGGACCTCTTTTTGTATAGGTCTACTGCTAGCCATACCAGCTACCCAGGAAGAGGTAGCAGCCTGATGCACAAGAACAGTTTCAGAGCGCTGCGAGCCACTGGCTTCACACAGTCCAGAATGTCCAGGGGCTTCATCTTCTCTTTCAAAGCTATTACGAGCCCCTTGGTCCTGCTGTTGCATTTCTCTGGCTCCATTCTGACCAGCTCCCTCCGAGAGCACAATCTGCACACGGGAGTCCGAGGGTGGAATGCAGTTCCCTGTGCTGCCATACACCGCTTCTTCATAGGATGGCAAGGCCACTTGGACACCATCCACCATGATGGAGACCTGATCTCCAGACACACCTTGGTCTCGCCTTAAAAAAAGAAACAAAAGGGGGGAAGAGGAGGAGAAATCAAGCTGAGCATTTATATTTCAGTACATTACCAAGAACTCCAGTAACCTCCCACAGCAGAGCTCTTAATGCTCACCACTGACTTATTTAGGGGAGGACAGAAACATGAATGGTGGTTTAACAAGGTCAAGCAAGCATAGCCTTGCAGCCCTGCTATGAATTGCCATAAACATGAACAGGGGCTGTAATTCACCGTGCCTGATGGATTTAGCAGCAAGAGCTGAAAAAAGTTACAAGGCTTCCCACCTCACCTGCCTCCAGCTAAATCTGTCAAAGATCATGATTCAGAGCCTTCTGCTGTCAGCAGATAAAAACCAAGCTCTGACCACCGCTGATTTCAGCTTGTTATACTGCTATACTCTGCAACACCCAGCACTGCCTTTTCTGCCACCTTTGCTGCTGATGACACAACCTCTGGTGGGCACCTCAAACTGGCACAGTGTGAATAACCTCAGCTCACAAGTAGCCTAGGTCAGAGTCCTGAGACTGAATTTTTCTTTTCCAGTGGTTTGGACTTCCTCAGAAAATGGCAGGCTCCACCTCTCAACCTCCCCACTGCTGGACAGGCATGTCTCTGCTCTTCTTTAAGGAGCATTAGTAGCTAGTTCAGAAGATAGAGTCCACAGTGACTTTGCTGACCTCAGCCGGCAGCAGCGTTATGGCTGGGTCCCTCCTCTCATCCACAAACCCAGGACAGGAGGGTTCTCCTCCCACAGTGGGGAACAGTGGCAGATTTGCATGCTAATCAGCAGTACTGCCTGCATTCATGTCCATAGGATCTCACAAAGAGACTGGGGGAGCTGCATAAATATTCCCAGACATATACTTCAGTAGCTATCCAAGGCTACAAGAGGCAGGAGACTGACCTATAGCCAGGCCAGTAGGATCATAACTTTTCACATTCAGAACCAAAGAAAAAGAGCAAAGAAACCACTCATCAGATGCATGTTTGAATGAGGACTGAAGCTGGGTATCACAGACCACCATTTCAGACTACTGCTGGGCCATGGGGCAGAGGTGCCACTTGAGGTGATTGAAACAGGAGAGAGAAGTGAGGAGGTAAGTTGCTCCAAAATGGATGCCTAAACCAAGTACCTTAATGGGTTTCTGCTGCAAAGGAACAGGATGCCTCTGAGCCCCTCCAAACCCCAGCTACACTTACCTGCTGTGATGGAACGACTTCAGCTTTGGCTGCAGCAAAACAAACAGCACAACTAAGAGCAGAATCAGGGCGACAGAGCTTGCTGTGGAGGCTACTATGGACAACGTAGGTACTCCAATTGTTGGAGGAGAGTCCTTTTCTACAAAACCAAGAGGAACACAAGGTAAAATGATCTACTCCTTTAAATAACTGTCACAGGAAAGAAAAAACATCCACATTGCCTGGTCTCAGGAATTACATTTGGGCGCATTCGTGAGGAACCCAAGTTACCCACACAGTCAAGGCACACCAGCTCTCTTGCAGAGGACAGTTCAGAGCCCAAGCTGACATCTCTACATCAGCTATACAAGGAATCTAAAATAGAACATGCACATAGAAGAGTCCATTAGAAAAACACAAGGCAAACAGAAAAGCAGTGCAAGTAGGCCATGGGAACTGACAGATGGTGGTCATGTTACATACAGATCTGGCTGAGCAAAAGCTAACAAATGTCCTGATGTCACCAGCAAGGCCAATAATTGTCTAGCACAATAAGCAGGATATTTTTAGGCCAAACAATAGAAGAAGTTCCAAATAATAGGGTTTCTTGGCTAAAGGAACAGCCTCCCAAAGGAAGGGGTGGAAGTCACCTGGGTGGGTACATGGAGGACACAGCAAGTATTCAGTTCCTCTCTCACACAAGCATATGCCAGGGAACAGAGAGGGAAGATAGCTGCTGCTTCAGGGTGCAGAGTTTTCAGTTTTAGATACACATGCCCTGTCCACATTACTCCTAACTTTCCTTAGCTGTGCCCTGTGACTGTATGGGAACCAATCTGGCTTTTAAAGGTCTCTGGCAAGACAGGAATAAATTGGGTGTGGAGAGAAAAGGCCTGGAGCTGGTCTTGCTGAACACTATGTATGACACGTAGAATGCAACACTAGTTCTTTCACCTCCCTAGAGCGAATAGCTGCCTGTATGTGTGTTGCCTCTGTTGCTAATTTATGTCTTTGGTAGAGATCTGAAAAACCTCACCTCTCCATCGGCAAATACTATTGTGCATTTCACATTGAAGACATTCCCATGTATGCAATTCCCTTTTGCTACATTCAACACATTCTTTAGGAGCACAGGTCTCAAACTGCAGGGGGATGCAGGACACACATGCAGGTAGGGATGAGGGAAAGTGCAGCATGCAAGCAGAAGAAAAAAGCTGGAAGACCACTGGTTTTAAGCCTCCAGTCTGAAATCTATGCCCAAAATGGCCAGGTAAGATGGAGGTCAAACCTATTGGTTATTTTGAACTTGTTTTCCTGGAATTTTTCAGAACTGGCTTGATCTCTTCCCAGGTTAAAAACAAAACAACAAAAAAGGAAAAAAAAAAAAAAAAAAAAAAAAAAAAAAAAAACCAACCTCAAAAAAACCCCACAAACCAAACCAAACCAAAAACAACCCCAAACTAAATACCCAATGTCTGGTACATTTTTCTCTACAGCAAATAGTTTTGAGTATGGATCTCCATTTTCAACATTACTAAGGGCTCTCTGAGTATGCTGACAGGAAAGAGGGTGAGCAAAGTAGGGTGCTCCATTCTCAGCATCAGTACATGATGCTGTAAAACTGCTCACTATCAAGGGTACACTCCAGCACATCTTATATTCCAACAAGATACTAACTCATACAATAAACTGTCAAAAGGCTAAGGGGATGACAGGCTCAGAGCTACACGGAGCTAGGAATTCTGCTAGCAATTTCATTTACTCTACACAGAGCAAATGGGATCTTACCCATTACCAACCATTTTAAGACCTACTGCCTTTTTCTCTACTGTCTCCCATCTCACCCTCCTTCTAAACTCTGTGAAGGAGACCAGCTAGTTAAACCTCAGCTGAACAGTTGTTTCAAAGCCTGTGCTGTGAAAGCAATGGCTTTTTCCCTGGGTCGGACTTTTTAGGCCCTGTATGTTTGATAAGGCCACTGACCCTTCAGAATGCTAAAGAAATGTGAGGGATTTCTGCTCATCACAACACAATCCCTTCAGCACTGATGTAGACCAAGTACCACCAGGCAGGAA